AAGCGTCTGCTGTGGCGTCGTAGGGGCTGCAGTCGTGCAGGTAAAACGGTGTATGCCGCAGCAGGGTACAGTCTGCGTGAATCCGTGTGTTTCAGTACCTGCTCCGAACGCGTCTTCCACTGTTCCCTATCTTGAAGCCACAAAGTTCACAATGCCACTGCGCGCGCTCTAGTCTACAACAACCTCTCAGAACCCTTCGCTATTCAGTCTGCATTTCGACAAGGCTGTGTCCTGTGGCCCATCCTCTTTAACTATGTCAATAACTGGGTTCTCGGAAAGGCCCTTTCAGGGAAATGACAGTATTGAACTTGCGCCCGGGCGCCGGTTAACTGACCTCGACAATGCCGATGACATCGCTTTATTAGCTTCAAGCTTTGGAAATCCACAGTCTATGGTGTCACGGTGAAAGAGGTCGCGAAATTGTTCGGTTTGTCCATAAATGCTGGGAAGATCAACGTATTCTAATGCTACATCCCTGCTCGAGAGAAGGCACCTCTCGAGATAAGGGGCTGTCAACTGGAAGAATTTGTCAGTTTCAAATACCTCGGAGCGAAGTTGCTGCCGAATGGACAGGGTAAAGATGCCATTGTCTCCCGAACTGACGCAGCATGACGAGTTTCCTCCAGCCTTCGGAAGTGCCTAGGAACCCGGCGCGATATTTCTATCTACACAAAGATCCGCGTGTTCCGTGCATCCTTGCGGTCCGTTCTCGTACACGGATGTGAATGTTGGGTTATGCGTGTGGAAGATGAAGGGAAGCTGGAAGTCTTTGACCTCTACTGGGTGAGGAACATTCTTCGAGTGAAATACACCGACTTCGTCTCAAATGAGACAGTCGGCACTCGCTGGGACAAAATCACAAGGGATATCCCAGGCCATTCATGAAGGACTATTGAGGTGGTTTGGACTTGTTCTTCGTCCTCAACCCAAGGAGCTCAGTGCTACTGCCTTCGACCTGAAACCATTACCTAATCGAAAACGTCGAAAAGGAGGTCAACTCAAAACCTGGCTCGACTCAGTCCATCAGGACATAGAAGTGGTTCTTGGAACTTCGGTATTCGGTCTCTGGCGCCGGAGAAGAAACAGGGTAGAGCCCTGCAGATCCGCTGCCGCCAATCCCCACGCATAGAAAGGTACCGTCCTTGACATCATCGAGGCCGGATAGATCAGCCACGATCGGAGCCGCAACAACGACAAGTAAGTAAGTAAAACCCAGCGCAATATCCACACGCCATGCCCAACCGACAACCCTGTCATCCTCAACACTATCTACCTTGTCTTCAAGAAATCGGCAAAAACTAACAGCAGCAGCATCACCGCCGCCGCAACCGACTCAGCGGTTTCCCCCAGTCACCGCACATGCACAACGCTGCAAATCCATCACACAGAGTTTGGCAAACCAATTTCAGAAGCATTCACCTACACCTACTGCCCTGCCCTCGCCTCAACTTCCGGCAATGCGGACGCACATTCCTTCACCTCATGCGTCTACTGGGGCATAGGCGCAAGCCCGCGGTAACACACCGCTGGTCAAACTATACATCACCACACCTCTCCTCACCAGCCAGCCTCACATACACCTTA